CATTATCTTCCTTTTAAAGAGAAAAAAAAGTTTCATACTTTAATTCAAAAATTACTCGTTGCAGCTAGAAACTCTAACAACGGAATTGGCAGCTGAACGTTCGCTGTGCGAAAAACTGGAGACAGAAAAGGATACTTTTCAGCGACAGTGCAAAGAACTTAAAATAAGAGTAATTTTCTTAATTGATGAATATTTTGATCCTTTGATTAGCCATTCTTTTCCACAGTTCATGTGAACAAAGCTGCTTCACTTATCCATCAGCCTACTGCTGCTGGTGATCCTGACATTCGTTTCTTTGCTTCTTCTTTTTTTTTAGTTTTCACCAAAAATGGCATATCTCATTTCCTTCACGGTTTTTGCAATTTTTAAACCTGAGTCGGCAAAAAAGCTCAGTAGCCTGTGGATAAAGGAAACGAGGATAAGTGCGGTTAACTTCCCTTTTTGCTTACTTCTGCTTTTTTAACAGGGGCCGTTATCTCGCGCAGGAATTGGTCCATTAGGAGCTGATATATTCGGATTTTGGCATCGGTTTCTTATTGCCTATTGCTTTTGAAAATAAAATTTTCTTGTGTAATTTTTAGCTCGAAGAATTGGAGACCGATGTGCGAACGCGTAAACGAGGACAAATTGTTGCACTGGAAGCCAAACTACAAGCCCTGAATGAGCAGTGTACACAGAGTGAGCAAGAAAAAGATATGGCACTAAGACAGGTATGATATGTCTTGGTTTATTGATGCATTTTACTTTTTCGATGTTTCTTTCTAATTTTTTATCACATTCAAAAAGGTGTTATTATATCGCAGCTACTTCGTTATGCACGTATATGCACTGCTCCAGAGGAGTCCCATAACTGGGCTAGACGGCTTATAAGTATTTATAGGCATAAAAAGTTTATTGTCGCCAAAATAGAACGCTCCGTTCTCAGATTCTGCTTTAGAAACCGATCAGTACTCAGCAAATTCATCTTTCCTAATGATTCGGGAATTAAACGCCTAGTCAGTACGCTATTCTCATAAGAAGTGTTTCCTCATGGCTAACATATAATGATTGATTTGAGTTAGCTTTCTCTTCCTTCCCCCTCTTGTAACTCAGTTTGCTCTCTCGCTGATTCCTCTTTCTTTCGCATATCCGTCTTGCAAATTAGTTACATGACTGTTCAGTACTTGACGAGTAGGAGGCTGTACGGATGATCCCCGCACCTATCCACATGCATAATTCGGTCTGTTTTTACGACTAAGGAGAGAAATACAGACTGCATCGTAAAAAGTCCTGTGGTACATGACACTTAAATCCAGCCCCTCTGTTCTACTATTCCATATACCTTTTCGTCAGTGATGCAGCAGTTGGCAACCTTTCCATCCTAGTCGAATACATAACTGCTTGTAGGGATTTAAATGAATCAAGTCGTATCTTGTTGATGGCTCCTTGAGTATCCGTTTTGTATTGCATGAGTCAGAGGTAGAGTCCAGAATTCCCCCCCCCCCCCCCCCCCCCCCCCCCCCCCCCC